GAAAAATGAGTTAATAATTTTCCCTGATGCGTTTTTCAGACTAAAAATTTCCCTTTAATTGTGCACTAAAAAGCAGTTCCTAGGAGCTGGCACGACAGCAATAAAAACTAGGGTTTCGCAAATGATAACCTGAGGTGTTTTGCGACTGCGTTAACATCTCGGCACGGATATCACTGTAATGAGTCCAAAATATATCAGTTGCGGGTGGGAGGAGAAAAATAACACATTCTGCTTCGAAAATAATTAAATTTTTCTAATTACTTTCTAAAATTTACTTCCTCCCAGGTCCGGGGATGCTCGAAGAGAAGAGTTCAGAAAGATTAACCTTTCCCTTTGGTTTGTCCTTCGTTGCAGGATACATGAAAATGCCACCGTACAGCAACGTACGATGCACATCAGAGACCATCGAACCAACGTAGCGTGAATTCATTGGCTCCCGATCATCCGGAGGAAATTTCCGGGAGTGCACGTACTCCTGAATACCTTTCGACCATTTCGATGCATATCCTTCATTGACACTATAAATGTTGCCCTTTCGTGGAATTTTCATATTTCGATTTGTTAAGATAAATTCACCGACGCTCTGAAATGTACATTATGGAACTTTTTGAATCAGCTGAACAACGAGGCATAAAAGAAAGTAAAAAGTAAATCATTTCTTGAGAGTAACGAAAACATCTGCGCTTAGCTGGGAGACTTAGTACCAACATAGCAAGGACGATCTGTTTTCAGGAAACGACTTCTAAAGAAAAAAACGAGGAATCAAACACGACTTCATATGCATTTTTCCATTTTTCTTAAACGCGAAAGCGCATACTGATAGGAGCTTGTCGATGTATGTGTGTGTGCGTGTTTGTGTGCTAGGATTTTATCATCCGCTTTCAACTCAGGAACCAGAGAAGTTAGGAAAATGAAATTTTATGGGAATATTCCAGTTCAATGTGCAACTCCAAAAACGAACTAAAGTAACTTTAAGTAGCAGTGTTACAACTCTCCTAGTTTTTGCAGTTACAGGGTGGAGGAGGCTCCCTCCCCCTCTTCCCTTGCAATTACCCGTCGTCCTTCCCCCAGGAATCCGCCCTGGATCCGCCTATGACAGCAGTACAACATCCAGTTTGATATTTAGTGACTTAAATTTGGCACGTGACCCAGGTCTCATACACATAATTTTATTACCAAAGCGGTCGTGCCTTCCATGTGACGCTAATTTGCATAATTTTTAACTTCTCTCAAAGTAATTTCTTTTTTTCTCTCCGTCGCTACTGCAACTTGTTCGTTGTTGCGAGCAGTTTCACCGCTCACCTATATAATCCGAGGCGTAATCCTGGAAAGCGCTGACCCACTGGTGGCTGGAGTAATCCAGCCAGCAGTGGATCAGCTTTTCTGATTTTCGGTGCTATCCATATTTCGCTTCGGCTCGTTTAATTATGCGTTTTTGCTTATAGCTCAGATGTTGCGTATGGGCGCCCAGGAGGAACATAAAAGGAATTTCGAGAAACAGAAAGCAAAGGAAGCTGGAATTGTGTAAGAATGTTCCTCATCGTTGTGCAACCTAAAGATTTCAAATTCAGCTATCAGGCACGGTTACATCACTTGTATAAATACGTGAAATTTCAAATTCAGGCATAATCGGTACTATACCAACTCAAGAACTAGAAAAAATAAGAAGCTGCAGTTCTACAGAATATTTGCTGTTCATGTAGGAAATGTTAAGTAAACTCAGACACCCATTAACGTTAATCCTTCCCTCAACTACCAGAAAAAAAAGTGTAAATTTACAGGATCAAGCATAAATCCGTTAACACCATTGCCCGTTGAAAGCACAACCATTGTCGCAGAACCATAGAGCGCATAACCAGCAGCAACCATATTACGACCACTCTGAAGGATGTCTGATAACGACACCGGCCCATCCGTCTGTTTTTTGTAAATACCAAAAATTGTCCCGATTGACGCCAGGCAGTCAATATTCGATGAGCCATCCAGAGGATCGAATGTTACGATATATTTTCCACGTTTTGATGGAGACACCTCGATGATCTGCAAGCTCAGATGATTCGCTGCTGAACATCAGCTTCCTTATATTCTACAAGAAAACCCAGATTTAACCCATACATTACATGTTTGCTCTTTTAGAAAGGGAAGAAGGGGCCATGGAGGTCCGACTATGAAGTGGTCATTCCAAATAGGAATGTCAGAGTTGTGGTAGACGAGAGGTGGTAA